AGATCTCCCAAAGATGGAGAGTGTTGATTTGAATGGAAAGTCTCCCATATTCCTGAAGTGGGAGGGGGGTGGAGGGAGGAAGGAGGAAGGGGGAAGGATGGAGGAAGAATAGAGGGCAGGTGATGGAAATTCTTCGAATTGAGAGGTTTCTCGGTAAGTTTCGTGCGGCACAGACCGTAATTGTATCTAGGTCATTGGATAGACCGTTCTTCATCGACGCAGAACGCCACTCTCGGCGACTGTGCCACCCGACGCCCTCGACCGAGCCTTGTACCGTGACCCTCTTGGGAGGGTACAATTTGCTTTCGTCGACGAAGAACTTGATCGTAGACGATCGTCTCGATTTAATAAGTCATTACCGTTTTATGTTGATGTCGAGGGGCTGCTACTGCACCTTCTTGCAACGGGATCATAATTTCTCAGTGTTTACCAGTGACAAACATTTCCGGGAGCTCACAGCGATGACCTGGATCGTATCGGTGCGATAATAAACAAATGCCAGTAAATAAACGAGCTCTGACGTCATTTCACTCGAGCGCCTTGAACGGGCACGAAAGGACGATGGGCTCATCGTAGAACGCATATCCTCCTTTCGAAGTTCGATCGGCCTGGTCGTGTCCGCACCGAGCGGACCTGTAGGTCCGGTTGCAACCGACACAAGAGTCGGCGCCACCGACGTCGAAGCCACGTCGCGCTTCTGCCCGTCCGACATTAAAGCAGCGGGTGCAGCGGGTGCAGTCCTCGGACTGCACTCGATGCAGGGCGTGAATGGTTGGGCCTTGCCGTCCTGGCGCCTCCCTGCTCCCTCGATGCTCAACGGCGATTGGCCGGGAGGTCTCGAGTCGCAGATTCCCTGCGTTTTAGGGGAACGCCTCATTCGTCGAGGTGGAACAGGGAACAGTGCTTCCTGCAAATCCGCCAAGGAAAGGGGGGGGGGGGGGTTGGGCACCATTTTAGGATACGTACTGTTCCATCTTAAGTTTCACTTAAGAAAACGTCCACAATTTTGAGTTGTTGCCACCAGAGCTGTCTAGTCGAAATGGAACTTATTTTGGTCGAGGAAATTCCATTCACCTTCTTCCTTAAAAAAAATTCCTCTCAGCAGTCACAGTCTCGATCCAAACGAGATCAACAAAAATATTGATTTCTTTTTCCGATCGGGTTTTTAATCCGTTAATCCAAGTGGCAAGGATGATCCGCTTCCATTCGAGAGCACGGGAGATGCATTTCCAGATGGTGGCCGTGCTCGCTCTCGACGTCACCTTGACATTCGACGCGATCGAAAAAAAAGAGAAAAGATCTGGCTTATCACTTTCATCATCGTCGATTGTCTTCGTGTCGTCACGCCATTGTGGATTTATGAAACGGGCCCCGATTTCCTCAGATTCGGGGGGAAGTGAGACCGTCCGCGATCGCATCTCGTCCGCTCATAACAAAATTGCACGGACGCAAGAACCGACCGTTTCCGTTTCCGTTTCAGTTTCAGTTTCCGTTTCCGTTTCCGCAAGCATCTAATAAAAGTTTCCATCTGATAAAAACCAAAGCATCGTTTTCGTCGCATTCAAAATCGGGAACATCCCACCCCTCAAAATCCGAATCCATGCACTCCTGCCATCTGGCGGGCAACGATCGCATTCCTGCATCTCACGATGCAACCTATCGCCGACTCTCGGTGGACCGTTGCCAGCCACTCCAATCACGTCGCCCACTCCGACTTTCGTCAGTCTGGCCAGTCGAAGGACCAACTTCGTGGAATACGCTTCACCAGCGAAGTCCTTCACGCTTCAACGGCGAAGACCTTGGAAATGCTGGCAGACCGTGGCTACGATTTTAGGCCCTTTATGCTAAAGCTCACGAGCACGAACGGCCGAAGCATCTCTCTTAGATTCCACTGATCCCTTGCAGCAGAAAATACGGTCGAGTGGAAATTTTTGGAGTTTTTTGGCCGTCGTGGCGGGAATACGGAAGTAAGAGCGGGGAAAGACGAAGAAAGTTCGAAAATGGTGCTTATTTGTGAGATCGAGAAGGAGACGGAATGGGGCAAGTTTTCACCTTTCAAGTCCTTCAACGCATCGCGGAAAACGCAATGCCGGTGCCACTCGTATCCGCCGATGCACGAAGCGAGGGAACGATTGCTTCAATTTTTTCTTCTTTTTTTTTTTTACGGACAGGTCGCAACGGACGAGACGATCCTGGATTTCGTGCCGACGTCGGTTCCGGTCATCGCGGGAAAAAGTCGGGGAAAAGTTCAGGCCCCCAAAATGGGGACGAGATCACGGAATTTCAGTCTCAAGGATAAGGATGACGTCAAAAAGAAAAAAAATTCCAGAAAATGGACAGCTCATCGATCTTTACCCGGAGGTGCTTGACATTTAAGGCGACAGGCCCCTCGACGATAAAGCGAGGACAGAACCAGTAGCACGCAGACGAAAAAGCCGGAGCGGTACGAGACGAAGCCGAGAACCAAGCCGATCGAACTCGGTCTCACGACTGGCCGGGATGTCGGAGAGGCGAGAGGGGGTGGGGGCCCCCCCCCCACCCCCTCTCGCCTCTCCAAGAGGCCTCTCTCTTAAGAGCAAGGTCACGTGGGATGTACCCTGACTGCCGATTGGATGAGGGTTCGTCGATGGGACGGTTTGTGCATGCTCTTCGAAGAGGTAAGGTGGAGGCAAAACGAAAGGGTTCGAGACCGGTCGGGCCGCTCCGAGAAGACTTTTGCAAGATAGCATCAGCTCTGGGAGAAGACTGCTCTGTTAATGATGAAACGTCGACGTGGACCGAGTGGGCATTTGAATGGGGAAGGGCTCGTATCATGTATCAAGGCGAAACCGTGTCTTTGCATTATGCACTTCGGTTTTGGCACGATCAGCGACGAGCAGAGCAAATCTGCGGCTTTAATGCGTTTCAACTCTACAGTCTGCAGCTAACTCCTCTTCAATCGATCACTTTCACTGGCTTTGCTGGGTGATGATGGAAAAAGGTGTCTGTCGATTGGCATGGGCGGATACTCTCGGATGAGAAGGGGTCTGCACGCCATTGGAGAGAACAATTTTCTCTGAAGGTAACCAGAACGGAAGATATGAGAGAAGCCACTTTTCTTCTCGTTCCCTTCCCGTGTGAGGATCGGCGACGATGATTTGTATACTCTTCGGATGGAGAACAGTTACACGGCAGAGTCTGTAATCTCCCTGGACCCTCGGGAGTCGGTAGAGGGCACTCGTGGGTCGTCGGTTCGGGTCGACACCATCGCACGAGCCGGACTCGTTCTTTGGGGGATCTAGTCCAACCTTCATCGATCTTTACCGGCAACTGATCCGGCTCTTCTGCAAAGAGGTAGCTTTCTTGACGTCTATGGGTGCCTGCACACCAAAGCGGTCCAGTGTTTCGAGTCTCAACGTGCTATTTCTGAAATCCACCTCCCAGCACATCAACCAAATCGTTTCACGAGATCAGCCGAATGGATCGACACGAATAATCTCTAGGAAACAAACAATTATTCCTCCCGCCATCGTAAAAACTCCGCGACGATCCTTTCAGTGCGATGGCGACCGCGGTTCTGTCGAGCCTCGTCGCCCTCGTCCTCGCTCGTCTCTTCTGCGTCTGCTGGATAAATGCGGGCAGGGGAGATCTCGCTCCAAAGTGGATGTCCGGTCTCCTCTCCTCGCCGAGTCCAACGCCCGCTCGATCACCGAGATGCTGAGGAAGGTGAAGGCCAAGAGCCAGAGGAGGGACCCGAGACTTACGGTTCCAAGAAGAAAATGTACAAGGTCAAGAAGAAATATCGGGTAAAGAGAGCCGAGAAAAAGAAAACGGACTCGGGGATTCTTCTCAGTGAGCGATAAGACGCTTGATTATTTCCTCCCGATCGTATTCCGTTTTGACGATCCACAACCTAGCTCACGTGAGCCAACATCGAAGGGAATACGAAAGATCTCAGACTGACTACTAGATATAGTGCTCCTCTCGATCGTTTTATCCCGTAGCCAGGTCCTTGAAGGGCCGAGACCACGATCACGAGGGTCTGCCGCTTTGTTACTAAACAGACGAGGAGAAAGAGCCACGTGATAAGGCAGTCTTGCAGATGGAGAGACATGCCCCTACTCGATTCAGGGCCAGTGTTGTTGATAGTCTGAAACTGGCCAAACAGGACGAGGACGGCCTCCCTTGATCTTTCTCCTTTTCATCCATTGTCTGCTTTTTTAGTTGATGGAAAAAAACAACGCATGACTCAGAGCTTTTGGCAACTTCATTTTAAATATCTGCCATCTCCATACACAACAGTGAAGACATACAAAGACAGAAAGAGCAGCAGCACGATAGTAAAAAAAGGTGCACAATTTGAGCCAGGAGAAGGGATTTGTAATATGAGCCAAGGTAAAAAAAAAAAAAAAACTGCAATGCATTGTTTTGATTCTGCGCAAATAATATAGCTTTGGCACATTTCTTTGTATGAGAAGAGAAGGGATGGAAGAAGAGATTCTTAAATGCTTGAAACACAGAGGGCAAGCCATCTGACAGACCTGCAAAAGAACAGCTGCACCTTATAGAACAAGCAAGGAAAATCGACGCGTCAAAATAGCAAAGATGGCGTTAATCCATGCAGTCCCGATTCACAAAAGGGAGCATACATCACACATTCTGGCATATAATATTTATAAAAAATATCTTCAAATCACTCACTTTCATATCTTGAATCAGATTCAACAGGAATGACAAATAACGTTGAGGACTGAGGATTCAATTCCTATAAGAGTTTTAAGTATCTAGAGGGAAAAGAGTAAAAAATACCAGGACGAGTATCAACGTCATCATCATAATACTCTAGACAAATGGTAAATGCACTCAGGGGTTCCCGACAACATAACGATGGGGGTCTAAGGATCTAACATGCACACTATGACATTCCGCCACATTATGCCAGTGATATGTCAGAACACAGTGGCCATATGGAAGAACACTCAGATCAACAGCTCCATTAAGTCCAAAACATCTCTTGATAAAATTTCCATCAATGACAAGAAAAACAGAGGCAAACTCAATCACTTGCCTGGTCACTCTTGGCAACAACGATGAAACTCATTGCACTGTACATAATGATAAAAAGAAGAAAGAAAAGGTCAGACCTAGGAGATGAGATTCCCAGAAAGAAAAGCTTGACTTTGTGCTCTGATTTCCCCCAGCTTCTTATAGCATAAAGTCTTTACATCTCTGATGAGAAACAGACAAGCATCACAGTTGACAGAGAAGGGTTGACAATGAAAGAGAGAAACCGCAAAAACGTCAATGTTCTAACTCAAATTTTCTTTTCCTTTGTACATGTCATCACAATGTTTTGTTATTTCAACCGGCGTTACCCTCTGATACCTGTATTCTAAATATTTTCCCAAACCTGTGTAAGAAAGAGAATTTCCTGACTTCATGATTCAACCCACATAGTCACACAATCAAAGAGCTAATTGTGCTAGCCTCCGATATTCTGAGCAATATCCCAAAGCTGGATAGTAAAAAAGTTTCCTGATTTCATGATTCAAGTATATGTGGTCACATATTCAGAGAGACCCTGCCGACTCTTGTTGTGAACTTCTGGCTCGACATAATTGTTTATCATCGGCATGACTGGCTTCTGTGCTTCTTCACTCGGGAGATAATTCTCCTCAGGGAGACCCGCCTGGACGTAACCATCATCCAGATGATGATGGGAATAGGATCCAATATAACCACTGTCTGGCTTGCTCATGTTACTGTGGCTGCTGTGAGGAGCAGTGGCTTTCTTGGGGTCCCACCTCCCACCCACATAACCACTGTCAGGCTTGTCCCCATCTTGTTCACTTGGGATATAGTCCAGGCTCAAGTCATCACCTCCCTGTGTAATGGACACAAGAGACATTCAGTTACATTCATCAAAAAGTACATAGTCTAATCTTACTGAAAAAGACACTGAATTGGACTGAGTATCATTGTACAATATGGGCATCAACTCCTGATAAAGACTGTGTGACAATGTCCATGCCTATCACAAGTGGCCAGGCAGCAGTTGGTATGTATGTTGGTAGATAGCCATGACTCTGACCAGTCCATGACTGATCATGTTTCATGTTCATGTTCATACTCTTCATGATGGCAAGCACTAGGTGCTTCATCTATCATCATGCTATCATCATGAAAATGGTGGTCACAATAGCTACAAGGAAAAGGCAGACTACTGTGATCCCATATGCACAGACACATCTAGCTTGAATCTATCAGAGATGATGCACAAGAAAGGTTTATACATGCTTACATAAAGAAGACACATGAAATACAAACAAGCCTCCTTTGAGAATATAATTGTATATGATACAGGCAAAATGGTATGGGATATTTGGATGTCATGAGACGAAATACATGGGAAGGGTATCAGGTTAGCATGAAGGAAGAACCACCACTGCTGTGTTCCTCTATGAGCATTTATTAATTGAAAATTTATTTACAATTGATCTGTTACCATTAAGAAAATATTTTTAAATCAATTGTGCACACTTATATGAGTTGGGATAAAAAATTTAACAAATTTTGAGGAAGTAGAATTCTCAGAGGTGTAACCCTGATCAGAGAGGCAGATGCATGGATAGCAACCTTGCTTATTTTTTTAAAGGAGGCTTGCTGACAAGGAGCAAATGCTCCTCTTCTTTCAACATAACTTTTTTTTCCATGCAGCATAAAATAAACTGTCCAGCCTTATTTCCTGATAATATGATACTGCAAACTCCAGCATAGTGACTGAAGCAGACCTTCCCAGTGCAGATTATACCCAATGTGTCTCCACAGAGAAAAACATACATCACACTCTACAATAGAGCCAACACACCCAAACCATGTTAATGCCATTTTGAAGACACGAATATAGCCTATCCTATCCAGAAATGCATAAACTGGTGTAGGTATGAGCCATTCTTCATAAACACATACAGAGAATTGGCATATTGGCCAAATTATCATATTAGTACCAGAACACAAAATGTCAACTCTCAAATCAACTGCTCCTACTTCCACACTTTGCATGACAAATATCTACTCATTTCAGCAATAAATGTCTGTACTTCTTACATCACATGTAAAAGTTACCAGTAACATATTTTTTCATGCTTTACTCTTTTTTTTTCCCCTTCAAATCAAAAGTAAAAGCAAGATTTTGATGACAGAAAATGCCAGGGCAAAATTACATTGGAGGCCTGTCATACTCTTAAGCTTTGCACATGAGTTGACAATTATCAGCAAAGAAAATATCATCTAAGACATTGGAATAGCTGAATCAACCAAAAGTATCATTAGCCAAAATATCTACATGACCCATCTCACCACTCCAGATGTCAGACTATTACAAATCTAAAAGAATGTAGGTTTTGTAAATTTCACTGACACAACTTCTCAGTCATTGACTAATGCACCAGCATAATCTTTTTTTTAAATATTTGTACCTTTGATGAGACTATAGCTTACATTAATGCTAGTACTGAGTAGCAATTTACCTCATCTTCAGGGACTTCAAAATCATCATCTTCTGTCAGGGAGCCACCCACTTTCACATACCCTCCTCCAAAGAAATTGGGCCTGGCAATGGATAACTTGTTTGCAACAGATGGTGGGGTGGATGGGACAATGATTGGAAGATCAATCAAGTTTTCAATAGTGGTCTTGGGTGAATGATGAGGAGAGGTGGAGCCCACTGGAGGTGGAGATGGGGTTTGATCTCCATATCCACCATATCCCAGCTGGCAATAGCCATCATGACCCTCTCCAGCATGAGTCACAGCCTTTGTCTGCATTGTACATGGGGTAGAGGAAGAGCCAGAGGAATCAAGGATGCTGGGATGGGAGGATGAGAGGCCAGCCTTCACGTATCCACGTGAGGCACATGAAAGACCTGAACTGTCCAGGCAGGGTTCAGATGGTCTGCGCTGTGTCACATTTGATCCTTTCCAATACCCCTCAAATCCACTGCTTGGTGACTCAGGGATCTGGAAAAAAAAAAATTCACCCTTCTTGTCAACCAAAGAGGGCAGCAGGTTCAGAATTTTACATGAGTAGTTACGACAGATGATGTGGCAGCAAAAACAAAAAACATGACAATGGAAGAAAATTGTGCTGAAGAAGCAAGGAACTCACAGTATCTATGTCAGCTCCAGAGTCCCCAGAGATACGATTCTTGTCTGCATTCTGCTCTGACTCAATATCCTTGCCTGAACTGCACCCAGATGTGTTTTCTTCTGTCTCAAAGCGAGATTTAGTCTTCTTCCGCTTGTGCAACAACTGTGAGAAACAAAATTTTCCTTTGAAGCTTTCCTCACCCTCATCTAAAAAGATACACTAGAAAGAAAGCAGGACAGACTTTGTCTGTGGAGTCTCCACTGATAGTGGTGCAGCCCGAATCATGTCTGGTCTTGAAGTCTTCTGAGTAAGTAGACTCAGATCGTACAAACACTCCTGCCTTCTCTCCAGTCAATGGATTTATGCCCACACAACCCTAAAGGCAGAGGTTTAAACCTTAGAAATGACAGAAAGGAGGTATCAAAGACTTCTCCTAAAGATATGACTATGCCTTACATCCTCCTGCTGAAATCCCTTAGGTAATGTGACCTGGACATTCTTCATCTTCTCTAGTCGCTTCTTAGCCCTGTAATAGTGATTCCAATTGCTATCAGTGATCATTCCAAAACAGTACAATCCAGTTCATTTTTCTTTTACACCAACCTCTTGCAAATGAAGATGACAAGAAAGATCAGGACAGCCAGCAAAGCAGCACCAACTACTACTCCATACAGGACTGACTTGGGCAGAGCTAGAGATCAATCAAACCCGTAGAAAACAAACAGTCCATAGTAGAAATGAAGAAAGAGAAAATTTCACCCACCTGATGTACAAGACAGGGTTGCAACAGAGCTCCAATTTCCAGAGAGAAATTCTTCACCTCTCATGTTAACAGCCCTCACACTTACAATGTACTTCTGATTGGCCTTTTCACTATCACACTCGGGAACTTGGATTGAGGTTTGCGTTGCTAGAAATGACAATACTTGTTTATCAGGCTATGGTTCAAACTATCTCATCAAGAGTGGGTACAAACAGTTCATGCAAACAGTAATGATAGGTATGACCAAATAGCTAAACCTGCATAATAACAATAATTAACAATGATTTAGGTTATCATATTTTCAGTACTGGTATGTTTTACACTCTTTCAATCAAAAATTGAATCCTCTCTACTAATAATACTTTTTCAGCATTTAACAAAATTGCATTACCCAAAAATCTTTCAACCACCATCCAAAATTTGCAAAGCATCTGGCTAACCTGTGGCCAGCAGGCAAAAAGTGGCCTGCGAGGCCCTAACCCACAATAAATACCCTTAGGTTTCCTTAAAATAGTCTCCTATAATATTGATACTAGTGACAGGCCCACAATGGCTATGGAAGTGAGCTTTGTGGCCCCCTAGTCAAAAAGGTTTGGCACCACTGGGCTAACCCGATGCAAATGTTTGGAGGGAGGGGGGAATCTGTCTGCTATTGATCTGTCTCTTGTTACTACGGAAGAAACAACTTCTTGCCCACAGCGTGTAGCTGCTCCGGCATAGGTATATGCTTAAGAAAGTTCTCCCATAGGTCAATCGTTAAATCCATGCCTTGTCACCAGAGATGTGTCACATAAATGCTTTGGCATGTTATGCACTAACTACATGCATAGACTTTGGTGGTATGTTTGCCCATAATTGCAAAGTCAAAGAATGCAATGGTTAAAAGAAATGGATAGAAATGCAATTGCATTGATATAATTGACATGCAGGAACATTATAGAATTCCTACATGCTAAGGCTTTGCTTGCTATGGTTAAGTGAGTTCAATAATGGATGTTTTCAATTGAGAATTGACTCAATATATATTAGATTTATCTAACATCAGGAACAGGTCCAAATATCTGCCATGAGGAAAGTGAAAGAAACATAATATGTACCAAAAAGTACCAAAAGCCCAGGCACATAAAAAAACTGCTTCTGGAGTCTGTAGCAACCAAGTATAATTTAGTTGTTTTACCAATTAAAGGATTATTTCATGAAACCCTTGACTGAAAATAAAACAAGCATCCATTAGAATTTCATATTGAAGTGAAAAGTATTCTTCATGAGTCTGGATAAAGGCATTTTCAATTGAGTGACCCAAGAGAAGGGATGTGTTTGAGATTATTCATCATATCATGAAATCTTTGTTCCTGGGAAGATGGACCATTCATGACTGATGTTTCAATTATGCTAGTACTACTGTTTCATATGGTTATATGTGATCCAGGATTCATGTCTCTAGAAGTGCTCCAAAGAGTTGAATGGTTGGACACTGGTGGATCCACTTAACTAGACACTAAGAGAGATCAAGTAAAAGATTTGCCCAACATCACTGATCTTGTTTGTGTAAAAGAAAGCTGTCTTACCACCCTTTATTCATCAGAGAAGCACTTGTTGCCTATATCCTCCATCTATTGAAATCAATTCATTCAGCTATTCAAAGTGATTTGGGCCATAAAAATATTTATTTGAATTTCTTTATGAGGCATGGAATCCTTGTCAGAGCTGGAATGCACATACAATGCATGCCATGACCATGATCAATCACTGCAAGCATCCCCTCTGATATTGAAAGTAATAGCCCAGCTTGTAAGAAGCTTCCCTTCACCTGCACAGCATCATTATGGGACATCATAATTTCCATTCTTGTTCAACTTGAGTTAAGCAAGCAGTTTGGTGAACCTCAATTCAAACTGGTATAATGCAAAATGCAAGTAAAATAGTGTGCAATTTGATGGTGCACAGGACCAAAAAGAAAGAAGGGGATCTACTCACTGTATATGAGAACAGTAGGAATAATAGATGACTGGTCATCTTCAAAACGGACACAATCCAGCTCATAAAAGTCAATTGGCCCATTCTTTTCTGATGGTGGTTCCCATGACACAAGGAGTGTTGAATCATTTGCAAAACGGACTAAGGGAGCACTCACTTCTCCAGGTGCTAGAAAAGTTCAAAAAGTTTTTCAATAAGCAGCATAATATCTGGCATAATTCAATGGGGTACTGGCTGAGTAATACATGATATCCTTATACAATACTGTATGCCATCAACTGTACTATGAGAAATGAATTGTGGTGAATTGCAAACTGAAAATGGTAAGGCATACCATCGATGAGTGTTGCCACAATGAGAGGTTTGGACCTTGGTGAACAGGCATCGTCCTTGTTCACAGTGCAGAGGCTCAGCTGCACTGAATAGTTCCAATAGCTTTGCAGACCAGTAACCTAGAAATATTACAAAATTCAATCAAATCATACATCTAGATCCATTGAAAACATCTATTTCTTACTTTCTACACAAATGTCAAGGCAATCAATAAACAAATGCTGTATCTTTTTCTCAAAGGGAAGATGAACTGGATTCCTTTTATTTCAGAAGTTTTGACTTTTTTCATGTTAATTTTTCCCTCTTTCATACCTCACTTTTGGTCTTTCACCCACCCTTTCTCTAACAATATTGGAATATTCAATACTGTAGCAATAACTCCCCTTCCTGATGAAGAGGTTCAACATGGAAAAGCAAGATAGGCAACTGGCAGCAATGCATGGAAGTTATGAACAAAAATATTGCACTTCCTCTATTCAGTATCCTATTCTCTACACTAATATGCTAACATGTGTAAAAAGAGAGTGAGGGATACAAACCTTAATCCAATCTCTCTTCTCCAAATGAAAACTAGAATGATGAATGCCATCAAAGTATGTAACACCATAGCGAATTTTCCCATTGGGTTGATTTGGGGGACGAAAGTAGAGCACCATGCTACTTGATGTCACATTCTCCACCCGCTCAAGTTTTGGAGCATCTTCAGGCACTAGAGATTGAAAACATATATCATTTAGTGTATTTGTTAACTCAAGAATATTTTCACTAGGCAAAGAGATTAAATTAGATGAAGTTGTGATTGCAAGGGTCACAAGGGTGACATTTGACCCTGTTTTCTATGCTACCATTCAAAAAACCCAGAACCAAATGACTTAAAAAATCTGGTAAGCTAACATTATCACTCAAACTTCTCTGCATTACTATAAACCCAACATCAGACATGACTTATGAAATGTTATTTCCTAGCACTGGTAGAATGTTGTCCTTCCTCCCCCTTTTCTGCTAAGGCCTAGCCAAAAACAAGAGAGCTTAACAGGTGTTCAATGAAAAAAGTTTGCATATAGATTGTACATTGACTGAAAATGAATGAGATCTTTAATTAAAAACTGAACCTGAAGAACAAAAAAATGTCAAATTTTAGCCTCTCAAAGGACAAAATAAATCTTTCAGCTGAGAATTACCACTTTCTAGTGTATATGCAGCATGTACAATGAAGACACTGAAATTAATAGCTTCTTTTATAGACCTTTATTCTATTTCAAGATTTAAAGGCCTTAAAGAACAAGGCTGAGACATAATGAGATAACAGAGAACACTTACCTCCTTCTTGAGTGGCACTGAGAAGGGGGGGATCATTGGGAAGACTCAAGCCTGCACGGGAGATGACCCTCACTGTCAGCTTGTAAGTACTACTTGGATTCAAATCATGCACCACACCTGTTTCAGTCTCTCCAGTGACCGTCACATTTCCTTGAGGGCCTGGAAAAGGAAGTACATATTAAACTGCACATCTTGATGAATGTGTTTGCACAAATGAGATGAACTCACCAAGACATTGCTCTGGTTTCTCTGTGCTCACAACACAATATGAGATGAGAAAGCCTTGGATTACCCCAACTCTATTGGAGCATTCCAGATGCCAGCCCAGACTCAGAGAATCATTCCTACTCTCCTTCATCCAAACCTCTCTCAAGCGGCTCACCACTTTGGGAAGGAACAAAGAAAGAACAATGTGAATCCTATATGCAAGGGGATATGTTAAGAGAGATGAAGAGTTACAGTCAACTCTCAAGCCATTATCAATAACCAGGCACTCCATTAATATGAAAACTCTCTCCATCTAATCTTAATAGCTCTTATCCATGACTCTTGCTAATATGAACAAATTGTCCTCAAGTCCCTCCCATATAATCCAGACTACCACGTATAAGAGATGGAATACAATAGTCAATGTAGACTTATTTACCTCTCTGATATGCTCTTGTAAAAAAAAAAAAAAAAATTTCAAGCTCTTCCCTTTCCTTCACTCTCCCCTCACTACCAGGGAAATAAAAAAATATATACAAAACTTTTTTTTTATCTCTCCAATTCCTGGAACTAAAGGAACTAAAAAAAATTAATTTTTTTTTTTAACTCACAATGGGTAGACACAATCAACACACACCTACTGATAGCTGCCCCTGTAATCCTACAGCAATCTTGGTATTCTCCCTTGACCACATTTATATTAAGCTATTACTGCATATAAAATTTTCTTGCTCCTATATCTGATAAGCAAGTAAACTGGAAAGGCAAATTACATCAGCATTCAAAACCCCCGAAAATACTGCCTCAGCATTTGGAAAGCCAGGGAGGACAACAGTAGTTGGCAGCAACTGAAGAAAGTATCTCAAACAAGTTTCTTGTAACACTAGGTAAAGCAAATAAAAAGATTTACTGTGAACAGTGAGAAACTCTCATGCACATAAAAAAGGCATACTTAAGTCACACTGCTGTTTAGTGAGTGGCAAAAAAAATGACCACCTGGTCAGGATTGAAATAATTTGGGCAAAATTGTACCTTTTGATCAGTAAAAGTTTAGAGACAATAGAGTCTTGTGTAAGGAAAATGTGTCTTTGAAGAATGCTCACCTTGATCCTTGAAGCCTGTGCAGGGTGCCCAGAAGATACCACTGCTTTTATTATCCTTGTTTGCTGCGATTCCAAACATGTAATTACTTTCATCATCCCTGTGCCAGCGCAAGGAGACATTGGCCAAGTTATCATGGCCTGGAACATTATCCCATGAGAGATACCCCTGAAGGGAGGAAGAAATATTAAAAATCTATATCTACTCAACTTTATGCATATAGAAATGTCTGTGAAATGGAACTTACTCGACACTTTTTGGGCCAGATCTCTTTGTGCTTACACCAGAAGATTGTGTATGAATCAACATCAACACCTTCCTGGGGTGACTTCCAAGACAGCTCCACTATTCTCTCCAGAGTTTCTTCATCAGCAAGTTGTTCAGGGTAGAGGACTGCTGTGAAATAGCGTGGTGCTGGAACAACTGCAAAAAGGAAAAGCTCAACTTTTACTACAAACATATGATGTTGAAGAACTATAAAAAAAAAGGAGACAAAATCAAGAACAGACTCTGAGTAGCACGAGGGAGACGGACTCGAGATGCAAGTTGAGAAGGGCCTTGATCATTGACAGATTGGATGAGAAATGTATAGGCTCTCTCCTGTTTTAATCCTTCATACTTCACATATGATTGACTGGAATTGCTGGCTGACAATGGCTTGTGGAATCCTTCTTCTTCCACATTCACCTAGAATTTAAACAGTCACTTATCACCTGAATGTCTGACAGTAAATGGTATGCTAAAGAAAGTCCTCACAGGAAATGTGCAATAAAAAGCTTAATTTTGATCCAGTAATCAGAATCATACAATACCCTACCTACATACAACCAGCACCTCAAAGTTGGATAACTTTTCCACTTTCTACATTTTCTGGTGCACTGGCTCTGTGCAGCTAAGGTGAGTCTTTCATTTTCACACTGCACACTAAAGAGAAACTTCCAAGCAGAAGATGCTTTTGCTAATAGATGCAAAAAAGGAGGAATCCAGTGCAACCATAAAAAATACCACTCTTTTACCTTTGCTACATCAAGAATGAGAATCATTAACCTTTTCCACTCGAATGGGTGAGTATACTCGCCCATTGGTACATTGACTCTTGCAAAAATTCGAGTGGAAAAGGTTAAAGGTCACAATGTTTGCATTGAATGAGGAATAGGACTTTATGCAGAAATAGTTCCACATGAACTTCACATAGGGCAAAATAAAATTTTCAGGATAAAAATGTTTACTGCCCATTATTAGACATCAATGTAAATGAAATTACGAGACACTTCTTAACACTTTTACCACCAAGGCTGCCACTTGGCACAATTTGTGACATGCTGATGTGTCACACGGCAGTCAACATGTTGAACCCAAAGTGACACATTTCATAGTGCAGTCTCCCCATAAGCTTTCTAGCATCAGATTTCCACTCACCATATAGCGGAAATCACCACCATTCTCCTCCTCCGGCAGTAGATGTTTCCAATAGATGTAAACTGATCTACTATCTAATGAAAGCTCTGGCTCCACCTCAAATGCATTCTCTATGGTTTGAGGACTCTTTGGGACTGTAAGAAAATGGATATGGAAGACAATTGAACAACATATTTTTGTTTCAATGATTAAAATTGCAATCTATGGGAGGGTTAAAAGCTTTAGAATGAAGCACAAAGTATGAGACTACAAAAAAGAATGAAAACTCACTTTCAGACATTGTGCGAGCATGAGTTGCTGAGAAATTGGACCAGAGATCAGGACTTTCAGCAGAAGCAGAAATGCTCCTCACTCTGATGTAATATACCGTGTGAGCAAATGGGAGCTTCCTCAGTATGTACTTTTGGTCACGCGATTGCTCCAAGGTCACGTCTATAACCTGTATATGCAATAGGATATTTACTTGCACACTTGATTGATGGAAGTGATGCTTTGATGCCTGATATAATGAGTAAACAAACCTTCCAGTCTTCAGACTCATCCCATTCGGCTCTCCAGTGGATGCTATGATTTACTTGCAGCTCAGGTCTCTCAAGGAGACCCATAGGAAGCCGCCAAGTGAGTGTAACTGCACTACTGCTCTGTGCTTGTGCAGATAATTGCTCCACTGGAGCTACTCTCACTAAAGAGAATAAAATTTTTCTGGTTGACCAAGCTTGCTAGATTGCAGTCAAGATGGAAGTTTGGAGACTCACCATTAGCATAATGATCAAAGTTTACCACAGGGAATATCACAGAATCCAGCACATTGGCAGCAGTTACTTGTAAAAGCAATCTTCTTTCATTTGCCATGTAGATGGGACTACTAGTTAGGGTCCATTCACACCCATTTCTTAGGCGGCTTGTCTCTGGACAGGCCATCCTGTAAGATGGTCATGGAATAAATAGAAAAATAGTTATAGAACCATTTCCATGCAAAACTTGATCTAATAGTGTAGACTGAGCTGTGCAGGCAACTGACCTGGGAGAGGAGGGAGTAGGAAGGAAATAGTGGATGGAATAGTTTGTGGGGATGGGATTCAGTGGAGCATTCCATGTGCACACAAGTCTCTCCAGGTTTTCAGAGATACATCGAAGCTTCTCAGGAGGATGAGGAGGAACTGGAAAAACAGGCCCAGTGAGTATTCCATGTTACTGTGCATATGATTCTGATATGTTCATTCACCAGGATTAGGAAATTAGAAAAAAACTATCAGCTACAAGAAAATATATTCAATTTTATTTTACAGAATTGTTATTGTACATATCTATGCTCCATCACCATGAATGAACACATAAAATTGGGGCTTGAGCAAATGAATGTGGCATGAGTAAATACAGAACTCAAGAGTTGCAATAAGGAAGGGACCTTCCAAAGAAAATCAAGAAAGTGGAGACAAAATCCAAAATAAAGGAAGACATCCAAGCGGGGTAGTGTTTTGATCACTCACATCCAACCTTGACAGAGGCCATGCATATAGCTCGGGGGCCATCCTTTGCCTTCACAAGACACATGTAGTTCCCACTCTGATCTGCTGTCACATTCTCTACATGAAGCTGAATGGCAGTATCATTGAGAACAATGTGTTCCAGATCTTGGAGACCTTTAAACTTCTGTCCAGTCCGTGCAAAGGAAAGGTCAGAAAAATCTTCTCGAAATTTAGTTAGACGACAAGACAGGTTCAGGGTTGACCCTGCTACAATAATGATGTTTCCAGGAGGATCCAACTCTGCAAAAACCAGAAAAAATTTATTTAATTTTCAAGCAGTTAGTTGCCCAACCTGTCACAAAACAGCATCCCATCCAGTAAAATGCCCAGAAAATCCAAATAGGGGGTGGGGGGGAGGAGGTTGACATGAAAAATTGGTGACCCACCCAGCATTTATGGCAAAAGTAAAAAACTATTCAGCACCGAAATTGTAAAATGTATCCTAAGGAAGGGGGTTACCAAGGGCAAGGGAATGATCAGATGGGAGAAACTATTAGACTTTTCTCCTATTAGACTAACAGCTTATGGTTACCAATGAGCTACAAAAACCAAATTCCAAGAGCCATCATAAAAACCGCAAAATAGCATCGTAGGCCTATTCCGCTTAGTTACCCATCGGATGCAGTTAACCATACACAGTGCATAGGGTTGCCCAGGTGACTGTACCCCTTAGGGATATTGTGTTGCTCCTTAAGTTAGGCCAGGTTAGGTTAGGTTGAAGGGGGGGGGGGGAATTTGTATTTATACATAATAGGAATCCCAATCACTTGGGATTCCAGGTGACTACTCACGCTCAGTTAACCGGACGCGTTTGGTTAACTGTAAGCGGAACAGACCTATGATTTATCTTAGGTCTAAAGCCTTCTCACTACTCACCTCCATATGGGCAGAGGGCTGCAAGAATGTAAGTTGCAGGGAAGAGGATCGTCAAAAAAAGGAACGCAGAAAGAGACATGACAGATCTGGGTAGGATGTGGTATGAGATTCTCGTGTCGACTATGTCAGATTTCGATGAATTAAATCGATGAGGAAGAGAAAGCGACTGGGGCACGGGGTAACCCCTTCTATTGGCCGCTGGGGAGGCCTGGTGTTAGGCCTAGGCCTACGGACTTCTTCACAGTAGTCACTTCATGGTACAACACTCGAGGATTGACGGCCTCCAAGAAATTTGCCGCTCAGACCACTCTGTGTTTGCTATGATGATAAGGTTCACGCGATTCAAGATAAACAAGATGTTGCCCGTATAGCTTACTGCGAAAGCAGTCTTGTCCTCGACTCCTCCCTTCACTATGGTTTCTAGGAAACGCGTGACGTCAAGGACGGATGTTCTCACTCCTCCTTCCTTGCAGTAGCTAGTCCTTCAACTTGAGGAAAAACATTAAAACAGCTTAATGTGTCGATTTTTATTATAAAACTTAAAATATATTCTGATCTGTGAATAAAAGATCCCTTTCAAAGAAGTAGCGGCCTATGCAAGCATAAATTGCTGCGCAAGATCATCCTTCGTTTGGCATCTCTACACAGAATCCATCGTAATGTCGCCTCGCGGGAGACACACATGTCACGTGTGCCGCAGAAAGTAGCGTAGGCCTATCGTAGGTTTCTAACAGGTCCAGACGAGGCAACAGCAAGCCCTACGCAGTCAGTGACATCTTTTATTTGAGCTTGATTTAACTTATCTATGATTTGTGCCAGGAATTTCAAAAATTTAACGAGTTGAACTTGTACTGAAGCCATTTGTACTCGTACTCAGATATAGGCCTATATCAGAGCAACGTTACTCCACATGACATCTATCGCATGAAGGTTTCTTTCCTGAAGAGAGATGCGATGATCCAGGGGAAATACGCCATCTATACATCTACATCATGTACAACAGTTACTCAAGACAAATGCAAGCAGTGTTTGCTCTTGCCAGTAGAAGACTCCTACATCAGAGTTTCGAAGGGTCCGTTGCTCCTCCAGTCATCACTGTGCCTGAATACATGAAATCCAATCTTAAAAAGGTCCGGAAGAAAATAGCCCAACAGAAAAGTAATGAGGGTCAGTACCAAAGACAGTTCATGAGAAGAGATGCTAGGACAGTTGTAATCTCTTGCAAGCATCCCCAGCTCAATCACTATCTTGGTCAAACCTACAGGAAGTTTCAGCCTGTCAGTTTAGCTTCACAGGGTTGGGCACATCGCAAATCAAGAGGTGATCATTTTACAATCCATGCTTACAATGAAAATCCTGCTGTTTCTGAGGCCACTGCTCAAGATTTTGAGGACCTAGGGCTGAACCATAGCATTGTTGAATCCTTGAAGAAAAATGGTATTGATTACCCAACTGTGGTTCAATCAGAAGCCATTCCTGTCATGCTCAGAGGTGATAACACATTGATTGCAAGTGAAACTGGGGGTGGAAAGACCTTTGCTTACCTTCTCCCTATTATCCAGGACATTATGTGTGCAAAGACAGATGAGAAGCTTTCAAGTGAAGTGCCAATGAACAGTCCTCAGGCAGTAATCATTACTCCTGGACGAGAATTGACTGAACAGATATATCATGTGGCCAGGAAAATTACCACTGATTTAGACATTTCAGCGAAAGTTGTCATTGGTGGGAGCATGAAAAACAAACTTCTGAATCCATCAGTGAAGCCTGTTGATATTCTCATAGGTTCATTTGGGATTCTCAGCAAGATGTGTACACATAAACTATACACCATGGCACATGTGGAGAATCTTGTACTTGATGAGGCAGATACCTTGCTGGATGACACATTCAATGCTAAGATTAGATATTTTCTCAACAAATACTTCATTTATTCAGGCCTAAATAAGACTCGCTTATGTCTGGTAGGGGCTACAATGCCACATTCACTTGATGACATCCTGGAAGGCATTATACCTCTATCTGCTTTCACCAAAGTTGCCACACCTGGTCTTCATACTGTGATGCCACATGTACAGCAGCACTTTCTGCGACTTTCTCCATCTCAGAAAGCTGAAGAACTCCTATCTTTGGTACGAAAAGACATTTCTAAAGGACACCGTGTCATGATCTTTTCTAATGACAGTCCCACATGTGACTGGGTTGCAATGTTTCTCAATGAGAATGGTGTTCAGTGTGTCAGTTACAATGCTGCAATGTCTCGTAAACTGCGGGCAATTTTCTTCAAGAAAGTAAGGCAAGAGGAAGTCCCTGTGATCTCGTGTACAGACATTGCATCTCGTGGCCTGGATACCACCAACATTCAGCATGTGATCAACTTTCAGTTCCCGACAAATCTGTCTGACTACATTCACCGCTGTGGGAGGACTGGACGTGTTGGAAGCCTGACTGAAGGTCGAGTCACAAATTTCATCTGTGCTCCATGGGATGCAGAGCTGGTGCAACAGATTGAGCTATGTGTGCGAAATGGGGCAGCACTCCCAAATGTTAATGCCAATGTGGCTCAACTTCTTGGAACCTACAGGGAGCAGAAACATGGGAAGCTGTATGAGCCAGAATATATCAAACAGAAAGCATCTAGATCAAGACACAAGTCTCATGGAGTTAATTATCAGGAATAAAAATGGTGAAACTGATATATTCCCTTCATTGAGTTGTAAAAAATCTTTCAAATGAAACTGATATGCCGTAATAGAAACCATTTTTTCATGAGAGCCAATTTGTCTATGATTGGCAAATTTTCTTATCCTACAGATGAATGGCTCAGACATGAGTGCCTTTGCTTGAATATTTGATACAGAGTGTGAAATATATTTAAGGATGAATCACAAAATGAGCCAGAGGTTTTAGTAGCTGTATTTTGCCTTTAGATAATTGTATAACTTGTGTCTCTCTTCAAGCATCTTAATATAGTTTTCCTCAATCAGATTTGCACTTGATGTCATTTGTCAGATAATTTTTATTTGTTGAACAGGCATCTTTTTTTGTAAATTTGCATCTAATAACATGTAAATTTACTTTAAATTTGTACCATCAAATATCCCAACTTAGAAAAATGAAATATACATAAGTTTCTAGAGGAGAGCTTGGAGAGGGTAATAATATTAAGTTAACACTATAGCTACCAGAGTAGTCATTTTGACTGCTATATTAAAAGTCATATGGAACTATTTTTCTGTAACAGTTTATTAGTTTTTCAAGATGTTATATAGTATGTCCAACATGTCCAGATGCTCCAAATGTGGATATTAGATATGGGAAAAGTAAAAATTGCACAATTCCTTAGTTGCCAAACAAGCAGAGTATAGTGTATTTAACCCTTTGATGAGTATGCTCGTATATATACACGCTGACATCCTCCTGCCCTCCATGTATTCACTACGGATGATCTTCTAGATGTTAAAAAATCCCATTCCTCAAAGGGTTAAAAACAACAAGCAGTCAAAATGACCACTGGTAGTTTTAGTGTTAACCCTTTTACTTTGGAGTATTTAATGGCCAGCCATGCTGGAGTTATGGGCATGCTTCAACCCAATTCACTTCTATTCAAAAATGAAGTATTTGTCATGTGTAACAGGAAATATAAAAAAAAGCATTCTTTTATGAGGAGACGCAGCAACATTGTCCACAACATCTGCTTCTGTAGCACTACCTCATGGTTTAGCAGATTGCAAAGCAGCAGTAGGCCTTGGTTTTTAACCAAATAATTTAGGCTCACCACCTCAGTTATCATCAGATACAATGAAGTCACTATCTTCATGATCAATAATTTTGTCCTCAGAATCATTGTCAGCCAATTCAATTTTCACATCATTTTCACTTAATGCATGCCTTGACTAGCGGTAGATGCCATCTTTGGAAACTAATATCCATGGATTGTTGTCATACAAAAATGGTTATACTTCATGTATCCCTTTCTTCAAAATTTTCCAAAAAATCCATGAGATGGCAGAAGGTCCCTGTGTGCTATATGAATATCAATCAAGTCAGATACTGTTGCTGAGAGACATAAGAAATTCATGAATCCATGACGAGTTAACATGTTGAACAATCACTCAGTGGGAGTTGGAGCATGATGTGTTAACTTGTGTAACCAGTGAATGGGTTAAGCTTCCTGGGAAGTAATTGTAATGGAATTGGAGGCCTTTAACCAAGTCTGGAAACTAACCATGATAGATTCAGAAGCAAATTTCATGGAGTTTAAGGTAGCTATATATAAATGAGTTGATAAGTTATACCCCATTTTGGAGTGTATGGAGGGGAGGGCTGATATTGACATTCATAAGATATTTAGTCATTAAGTAAAATTGCAGGACTCTTGGAGGTCAGTATGTCAGTCATCTTTCATGTGCTCAACTTAGACAGATAGACAAACTCCAGGAATAAAAATGGCAGATGCACTGGATATCCTGGATGTGGACCGCCCAGTCACACCAGAGTTGACCAAGGAGAGGATTCTAAACCCAGAGAAGAAACCAAAAAAATCTGTTGAGTCCATCAAACGGCCAGAAGGCATGAACAGGGAGGTGTTTGCCTTACTTTATGCTGATGCAAAAGATCACCCTCCTCTCCTTCCTACTGACACTGGTTAGTCCTTCACAGCTTTCATTCTTCAACATGGAATTGGTGGGCCCTTTTTGAAATTCTATAAAATGTCTATTGCAGCTCAGGGTTATAAAGAAGTGAAGGTAAAGCTGGGAATGAGGAGAGTTCGTCCATGGCAGTGGATGCCATTTGTGAATCCAGCAAGGAAAGATGGAGCAGTATTCCATCATTGGAGACGGATTGCAGACCAAGGAAAGGAGTATCCCTTTGCAAAGTTCAACAAGGTTTGCTTGCTCGTGTCTCTTGTTATTCTTCAATGTTTGCTATGCTGAAACATCCCAATTTTTTTTTCTTATCTCGCATCCAGAAAGTTCACATTCCTAAATACACTGACAGTGAGTATGATGAACTCTTGGTGAAGGAAGGCTGGAGCAAGGATGAGACCAATCATCTATTTGAGTTATGTGAGCGTTTTGATCTCAGATTTGTTGTGGTGCATGATCGCTGGGACCGCCAGAAGTTCCTTGCTTCCCGAAGCATTGAAGACTTGAAAGCACGTTATTATGAAGTAGTTGGAGCCCTTGAAAAGAAGCATGCTCCTCGGGTACAAGAGCTCTCGTGTTATGTGTTTGATATTGAGCATGAACGGAAACGAAAAGAGCAGTTGGAGAAGCTCTTGAATAAGACTCAGGAAGAGCTGGATGAGGAGCAGATGCTGCTGAATGAGGTCAAGAAAATTGAATCAAGGAAGAAGGAACGTGACAAAAAGACTCAAGAACTCCAAAAGCTGATATCAGCTGCTGGGCACTCTTCTGAGGGGAGGAAGTCAGAGAAAGTTGTGAAAAAGAAGACCTCTCATGTGAAAGCACTCAAGCTGGAGACAACTGTAAGTTTAATGTTAAGCCTTCACTGCTTTGGAAGAAAACATCAAAATGTTACATATATTTCCTTAGACATATGAAAATAAGGTATTTTGTATCTAACTGGCAAAATTTAGTCATTTTAATGCAATTTTGGGTTTTTGCCAAAATAGATTAAGTTTGCAAAAAGAGAAGAACTGTAACAGGTAGAATTTGTAATAAGTCAAAGGTGTGAGATAAAGGTTTAAGACAACATATGCATAATAAAGCTGTTTAGACATGAAATTTAGTAGTTAAGAAATTAAAAGGTTTGTGATCAAGTAAGCAGAAGGTCTTTTACTCTGCTGTGGTACTTATTTTCCATTTGCTCCCCATTGGTGACATACATTTAGCGAGTATTTATGTCCTTCACAATTGAGAATAACAAGGATGTTTCAGAAATTCCCCATTCACCACACAATGAGTCTCCAGCGTATATAAAAATTATTCCTATATGTTCCATATTAGGAACATAATAGTGTGAAGGGTTAAACCTCAATCATTTCTATGAGAATCCAATTAAGGATGTCCTGGTTAATCCCATCCTGTGCTTTAATTAGTTAGCTAGATTCTTTTTGTCATAAGCAATGTGAATGTGTCATAAGCATGAAGCTCAAAGCAATCATGATATAGCTCATATATTATCAAATGCAAATCTATCCTATCCTTTGATTTGTGGGCCTATATTTGGCATTGGCTGAGTGGCAGTACTTCTCTATAGCAGCCGTTGGAGACAGGAGGAATCAAGTTTCCAGAGGTAAAGGGAGGTGGTGTGATGTTGAGATCTCAACGCATGAAGCTTCCATCCAGTGTAGGACAGAAGAAAACTAAAACAATTGAACAACTCCTGCAGGAACTCCACATAGGTATTCCTACCATCAATACCTCTTTTATGGTATAGTTATTCCATCAGACTGGACCCTTCCAAGTGATCCCCTTTGTATTTGCAGATGTAAATCCAATGGCAACTGAAGAGATATGCCAGGAATTCAATGACCTTCGGAGTGACATGGTCCTCCTGTACGATCTCAAGGTTGCTCTTGCATCCTGTGAGTTTGAACTGCAGACCCTCAAGCATCAGTATGAGGTCTTAGCTCCTGGCAGAGTAAGTTATTTTGCAACAACCTTTACTTAGATTGAAAATCATGTGCATGCATGATGGTGGAGTGCTTTCATGATACATTGATGTAGATTCTGGAAATTCCTGCTGGTCTCACCCTGACGGCTTCAGCTCAGTCAGTGGAAGAAGAAGGAAAAGGAAAGGGAATCTCAGAGATCTTGGATGTGGCAGCCTCACCTTCCACACCAACTGTAAAACCATGTTTATTATTTATGATTTCACTCGTAATTCCTAGTTTATGAGTCCTGTTGTTGGCACATTGTTTTGAACAGCGGAAGCAGAGGAAGGCTGCCCTGGAGCAAGGGAACGTGTTGAAGAAACTCAAGATGCGGACATGACACGTCTGTGATATATGCACATTGCTGGTAATTTTTCTTCATGTGAATACAACCCATGTATTCATTGTGCTCATGTATTTATTCCTAACTGTAATTGCCTTTATATGACTTTCTTTCTGGACACTCTTTAATTTCAGCACCATCTTTGATGTAAAAAAAAAAAAAACCCAGTTCTGCTGTGTTTCTGAACCAGTATAACTAGTTTTAATGAATCGCTTATTCCATGCTTTCATTTTATTCCATGGAGAAAACTTAAAGCAAGGAATGTTACTGCAACTTGCTCAATTGGAGTGCTTGGTGACTGTAGTTACACACATTTCCCAGTCCTCAAATTCTTTGCCCAGAAGCATCTGTTTCTATTGGACATGAAAAATACCAATAATATTATAAAAATCCTCCAAAGGAGTTATCATTGCACTAGACCACTATAGGTATCCTCCTGGTAGCTGTGAATCTCTACAGTGACCTTCAAATTTAAAATTTTGGGGCAACTTGAGTATGCTACTGATGTCAGTTTAGCCACCTTGACAAAACACAAGTTTTGTGCTGCAGCAATGCAGCTTGTGCTTCATTCAAAAATGTAAACTTTCTCTGCAAGAAACAATGGAAGACCCTTGATTGACATCTCAGACCCCCCCTAATCTCTAACATTTCTAATATCTGTTTTCTGGTGAAAGTGTGAAAGCAATAGCATAGTTTTGTCCAGTTTCCAGTTGTTTTGTCTCATTGGCCTTTTTGCAGCCATCATGCAGTTCAAGCTGTCTAGGGAAATAATTTGGATCTCCATGATACTGTATACCACATTCTTCATTCTTTGGGGTTATGACAACCAGAGGCATCATAAGACGAAGCCTTTCCCCCCCTCTCAGTTTCAGTCAGTCCAAGTCCATCAGGTCATTTCCTATGGACAACTTTTTCCTGCTGAGAGCTTAGCTAAAAAATAATGTCTAGTTAGACTAATCATTTCTGTATTCCAGAAAAGCAGTCACTCTATCCAGATGTAAACTTTAAGCTTCCAGGAAAAAAAAATTGCAAGAAAGTTTAATTGACTTCATCTATTTTCCTTTGAGCTGTCACTCCCGATTTAATTGATTGTGTGATTTAATTTTGAAGCAATAAATTTTAAACTTCAGGAGGTTGGAAAAAAATAGCTTTTTACTCTTGGAACCTTTAAAGTAGCACATTTTTATGATGAAAAGTATGTTGAGATACCAAGTGAAAATCAAGCTAAATCTGGAAAGTGTGTCTGACATCAATGCTGGCTTTGGTGCAGCAACAGGCAGCAGAAATGCCCAAGTATGCAGATGTGCAGTGAACCACAGTCATTTTTATTGCGTGGCCTGATGTTCTTGCATTTTTTTAAATCTTCCCTTTATATTCAAGCCTGCACTAGGTAATGTAATTTTCTTTGCCATCTACATATATTTCTCGTTCATTGGTTTAAAGTTAAATATTTGGGTTTAACGTCATTGAACATGATAGAAATAATCAAAATTAAGAATTAGGTTGTTCACTCCTGGCTATGATGTAACCGACAAATTGCACCGCCCAAAGTTGGATGGAACAGAAATTTGATCCAAGGTTTATAGCCATGATTGACAAGGCATTGAAACGGCTTCTCTGCTAATGAGTCAATCTGCAATCCTTCATTTTCGCCATCTTTGAAGTGGGAGGAGGCCTCTGTAACATTATGGCTATAGTATAACATACTTGGCAGAGGAACCGATGTCATCCATATGTGAGCAGTAGGAAATTTGTTTGGGAAATGTTGGACGCTTCAGTTTAAATCGGAAAATGAACCTGAAAGTGGTTTTTTTTTTTTTTTAAGGAAACACGAGACTTCCTATCTGAGGTGTCATGCTTGAAGTGTCTGTTCAACTGGTATATACAGTTAGCTCATGAAAGTCACGCATTACGATTAACTCTTTATACATGTCATTCGGGGTAAGTGTGATCAGTCCTAATTTTTGGTACTTACAAGTGCAATATGTCATCAACGAAGTATGCATTAAGAAGTACTCTGTCATGCTAATCCAGGTTTGTATATCTCGTCAAATTTCACTGGATCAAGTGAGAGATATTTCACTGAATATAAGAGTACGCTCTTTCAACTATAGTACTTAATTCGGCGCACCTCATTCAACTTTCCCTGTATGATCAGTACTGCATAATATAATTCCATTTGTTGTATCATGGCAAAGTAGATTCCATGCTCCTTCCAACTAGTGCCTTTCTGAGTTTCATTCACGCTAAGCTTGGGCACAGAAAGACTGATCACGCTTACTCCGTAAAGTTGGGCGTTGGGGTAAGTGTGACTCTCCAGTCTTCACCTCGTGTTCGCTCGTTGGCTTCCCTCAGAGATTTAAAAACTCAACTAGATCCCTGAAGCTGAAGCCACTCCTTGCTAGAAGTTCCTTGTCTGATTGACACATTGTGCGTTGGCTCTAAAAATTCATAGGATGGTCTCCGACCTATCTTCACTGGACCTCAATCAAAATTAAATCAGAAGTGTAATTGCACATGAAGCGCCTAAGGCAGCGTGAAGCAATTATAAGGAAGGATTGATCACTCGACAAAATGACTCAACACTCCCCAGTAATTTGCAAGCACTTCCTGTACCGAGCCTCGAGGGTCTGGAGGCCTGCATAGTGAGCTCCTTGGTCCGCCATCGAAATCATTTCTCGCCCCATGAGATTCCAAAGATATTAGACATGAAAAAAAAAAATTTTTTATGCGTGACTGTGGCTAGTTTAAGCAATCTACCGTCAGACCATAGAGCCACCCATGATCTGAAGAATGAGGTCCCTGGCTTAAAGAGCGAAATACGTGACTTCGATGACATCCTGTACTTAACGTCACATCGTGAAAAGGGAAGCTCCCGTCTGGGCAAGAGACAAGGGCCCAGAATCAAAAGGGAAAAGGATCCCCCGAGATATCAAGCCTGCTTCTGTCCCCATTTGATGGCTTTATAAATATTTGATGCGTCCTTTCAGCCAACGCCCACCAGTTCCCTCGGTGCGGTGCTTCAGTCCAGCATCGCTGCCGGCAATTTATATTTTATTGTTTGAAAATGTGATGCGTTTGTCTTCCGACCTCTGCACGTATCACAAATAAGGAAAAAATCTGGCCATCACAGAAAAACACCTTTACGAGCCATACGAGGGGAAAACTCAAGTTTCCCCGCATCGCCGCCTCACTTCCAATTCCAGCGGTTTGTCGAATTGAAGGATCTGCTCTTCCCCACAACTCTCGTGCCTGCGTGGACGAAAAAAAGAATCGAAAATTGTTGGATCGGAATTTGCAACGGAAGGATGAGCTGAATGTGATGGCGGCGGAGAGGAACTTGAGAAAATGGGGTATGTAGCTTAATGCTCGCTTCTGTCAGCCCCTGCGGTCTTCCGATTTGACAGTTGCGATTGTCTTTCGGGTCAAGTTTCATTTTTTGACAGACCTTTTGAAGCGCATTACATGGGAGACTGCGGAGACGTCGCTCATATAAACCTTTAAGGGATGCGGTCATGCTTCCTTAGTCGTGCAGATCGAGTTATGCATGCGCGTTTTTTTTTCACGATGGCAGCTAAGAGCAAAGAGAGTGGATCTCTCACGGTTGTTCCATCGAAAGCCTCGTTGCAATATTCCATGCAACGTACTTTACTGCGTGCCTCACGGAGCGGTGGCCTGAAGTGACAGGTCACAGTGACAGGTCTTTCAGGAATCGTCTCCCTGATCTCTAGCTTTTAGCTCCCTGGAATTCAACCGTATCAGTGATGCCGGATGTACGGTAATATCCGGTATTGCATGCAGATTGAGGACTAAATATGTGCCAGCATTGCAAAGATCATCTAGGTTTTCTCATTTGAAGCGAAATTGGGGAAACCTCGAATTTTCAACACCACCCAACTAGCATGGTTTTTCATCCTATGAACGTCCCGCATCCCGCAACAGACATCCCGTGGACATACGAGGGATTTATCGCGTGTGACGTCAGTGTTCCTCGCCTTCCGGCATGGGATGTCATCTATACAACGTGGGATCTGCATGGGATGTCTCGGGGATGTCCTGTCGCTCATTGGGCAAAGTTCTTTCTTTCTTTTTTTCTTTCTTTCAGGTATACAGTAGAAAGCTTTACCGCCTTCCAGTGCGTGTACGCGCTGTTCTCCCCCTTACGCATAAAATTAGAAAGTGATTTGATCCATACCGCAAGCCGTATTGATCGGTGATGGATAACCGCTGAAACCGCCACAGCTTGCTTCGGCCCGGGAGGAAGCCGCTCTCGATCCACGTGACTTTCACGTTGTATCCCGCTTCCGCTTCTGTCTCTGCTTTCGCCGCTTTCTCGTCCACGATCACCACTCGGTTCCATTCCGTCTCCTCCGACCTTTCATACCCACGAAGACCGTCGAGATTTTATTCGTGCTCTTTGCTGACTCGGAGGGAAAACGGCGACCTCTAGGTTTTCAACATATAAGCCATTTTGTTGTAGTACATCTGCAAGTACTCCAAGTACTCACGATCCTTGGAGAGTGACCGAGCCGAGCTTCCCGGCTGAAGTTTGAAACTCGATGGACACTTCACGAGGATCTCGTTCCCCCGGAATCTTCGACAGCGATATCTTGTATTGATAACCTGAAATCGTCCTTCGTCCTCAGGATACGAGTATGAAAGAAACCCTCGATGAGAGCACTCCATTCGGCTTTAAAAAAATTGTATACTAAAAACACATGGTTTTGATGGAAGTCTCGCTTAGATCTTGCCAACAATGCAGCCTTCGTCTTTTCATCGAAGGCAATGAGAAGGCCTCACTGATCTTTCAACCCCCACCCGTCTTCCCAAAAGAGAAAAAAAAAAACAAACAGACCGCAGAATCCTTGAGTCTGAGTCCGGAGTTCCCCAAGAGTGAGCAAGTACTGCTTGCCCCTGCCGGGAGCCTTCTGAGAATCCCATCCCATGTTCCCGCATCCCTGCTCCCCGCAATCGAAGCATTTCCCTGCCAGAAAGTCCTTGTTGAAGTCCTTGAGCTCCGGGCAGGGGAAGGACCGAAAGGAGCAGCCCGGGCGACGCAGGGACTCCAGGAAGTAATGATGGGCTCGGCGGTGGTTGCAGTTTCGTCCGTCCGTTCGCGCTGATTCCGTCCCGCAGCACAGAGAAAAGATAGAAAGGGAAAACCGTCGGGTGAAATGATCGAAAATTGAAGCGGAAATGAACGACGGTGGCTGCAGCGTCGACGAGTTCGTTCGTCATTCCTTAACCTTTTTCCCGCTGGGGAATTGCTGGCAGTTATCTTACGAGAAGTGAAATGTCCTAGAAAAAAAAAAGAAGAGGAGCAGGTGTGCTTTAGAAAGTCGCTCTGGTGATCGAATGTCATCGAATAAGTAGCCGTCGAGATGAGGCACGCGTTGAAACGGCCGCGACATTTGATAAAACGGCCGTCGAGTCGGGACGCACCCCCTCGGGAAAGCCCCGACGAAAACCTCATCGCCCAGGGACTTGCATTCTCGTTTCGCCTTTCACGAACGGAAATTCCACGAAACGAAAGGGAAGGAGAAAGCGGGAAACAAAAGACCCACTGATGAGATCGAGGATGGCGCCGATGAAGAGATTCCGACAGCCCGGCTGACTCTCGCCCCCGTTGGGATAGAAGTCCACGTGACCCAGCGGCTCGATCGCCCCTTGACCTCCCTGCCACAAGGGTTGCCCGTTCGTGTGGATCACGTCCACGAATTCGGCATCCGTGGCGTCTAAGTGCGTCTCGTGACCGCAGTCTTCCCCCACGAAGAGCGGCGCTGCGGGCTCCAATCCTAATAAAGCGGTTTTTTAAATCTGTCAGCGGAGGCGGCAGGTAATTCATTTTAAAACTCATGTTTTTTATTTAAATTACATAAACCCCCACCTGTGATCCGGCCCACCTGCGCGTTTCGGATCTCTTTGAGCCAGTTGGCTGCGTGCCCTGCCACTTGCGCCCCCAAGCTGAATCCTGAAATGCGAGCAACGAGTACACAAGTCAATTTATGGCCGAAACAATGCATCAATTAGTGTCTAATACAGACTAAATATAATGGTTTTTCAACTGTAAACGTCCTCCTGTCGACTCAGTCTTGGTTTTATTTATGTATTTTTCTCACAATTTCCTCAGCACCTTCCAATTCAAAATTCTTGCAAGAATATGTCAATGCGCCAAAAGATGAACATTTTACTATATTTGCCTGGCGGCGTTGATCTATGAAAAAGGCTCGGAAGCGTGCCCAGTAGAGCATGAAAGAACTTCATCTTTCGAAAGAAGAAATTGTAAAAAAAAAAAAATTACGAAAGCAAAATTGAAATCTCGACCGATCGTGGGACTACTCCGTGTTATAAATCTGTGATCGGTTTTTAGGAAAAGGTCAACTCCTTCGACGCCTTCGAACCGTCGTGAGAGCGTCAGAAATTCGAAAGGCTCTAGGCCGGTGGTGCACAACCTGTTCGTCTTTAGACACCTGAGGCATCCAAGGGGCCGCAGAAAAGGTCTCCGCTGGCCGAATGCGGCCCGCGGCCCGCGGCCCGCAGGTTGTGCATCGCTGCCTTTTTGGCCTCGGCCACTTTTTTAAATTTAAATATCGAAATCGAAGCCTAGGCACACCTTAAACCCATTTTAGCACGTCAACTGGCCCCAATCCTCGGCACAGATGCCGGCCTCCGGCTCTCTCGCTTCAAGCCCCAAATACCCCGCAACAGAACCGGGAGCTCAGCCCCAACATCCTCGACACCAACAGAAACTTAAGAGGAGTTTCGCCTCGACACCCAACGCATCCGTCAGAACCTTGAAACGCGTTTCCAACCTCCCGAAATCGATCCGAATCCCTCCACACCCCACAGACGACTGTCCCTCCCTCCTCCCCCGCCCCCCCTCCCCCCCCTCCCCCCTCAGGCACCTTCGACTCTCCAATCATACCGATGATGTGGACGCTGGAGTAGGTGGCGCCCATGTCGACGAGGGCGGCGACGAGGTTCCCCACCTGTCGCCCCACCAGTTCGCTGTTGGCAGCTGGCATCACGTAATTCCGATGCGAGGCTCCCCGCTCCCAGTTCACGCTGATCACGTTCATCTCGCCCTGAAAATGCCATCGCACTCTCGCATGCAATTCACTGTGCCAACGCACCTCAAAAGTCGTAACAATCTAATGAGGTATGTCGACATTGCATGCGGGAAATAAAAATTCCTCGAAAATTCGAAAAAAAGCAAAACGTGATGCTCGTGCACCAGATCGACCCGATACATGATCCCCGTGAGAATTGGCATATGTAAATCGGGGACCGACGGAGTGACAGAACCAGTCCCGTTTCTTTCCGATCACACCTTTATAGCATCGTGATGAACTCGTGGCCGCCCTATATAAAACCAGATCGTGCCCCCTCGAGGTCCGACGCAGGAACACCCGAACCTTAAAAAACACACGAAAGCATGCACCTTTCCCAGCAGAGCGTCCTTGATGTCCACGGCCCAGGACGTGCGTCCGTTATCCATGTACCCGTGAATGAGCACGGCCGTCGGGAGCGAGACGTTCAGGCTCCCCTCGCCGCCGAGCTTGGTCCCGGTCAACGGGAGGGATTTCTCCGCTTTTCCCTTCCGGGTGTCGAAGAGGATGAATTCCGTCCCGATTTCCTTCGGGTGACTCGGCAGGATCCTCAGGTGTTTCATGGCACCCTCCCGGGTCGAGAAACAGCCCACGTCCTCTGTAAAACAGGCCTGGCCGTAGGAAACGGGAATTCCACGAGATTTTCTAGCCGAGTCCCACATAAATGGTAATGTAAGTGATAAATGGTACACTGAGGAACAGTGGAAACGGGAGGGGAGGGTAGAGCGGATTCTGCATTCTATTGTCCGATTTTGACACGGTTTGTTCACGGTGAAAGAAACAAGCCATAGAAGGCTGGAAGTATCTATGATAACGTGCTCCCGAATGAGGTAGAAACAAGTAAAACATAATCTGGAAATTCCACAATCATCGGCTCCTGAGCTAGAAATTCTAGTTGAGACGGTGACGCTTTCCAGGGATTGGTGGAAGGAGATGGTGGAATCGGGGGAAGGAGGTGGTGGAAGGTGGTTTCCGATCGGTAAAATCTGTTATGAGAAACCCCTCAATCCGGAAGTGTTTCAGCTTTCGTGCTGGACTCCCCCCCCCCCCCCCCCCCCCCCC